ACACCCGCTCATCAGCACCCTTCCCACCCACCCTTCCCGCACACGAATAAACACACATCACCTCCAAGGGAACAGACGCTTAATAAATTCCTACGCAGAATTTCCAAGTCTCAATTCATTGGTAACTTTTCCAAGTACATATGTTTATGGACAATTCTTTAGCTCCTCTCACAGATATAGAACTAACGGGGATTATCGCATGCTTGTAGTTAACTTGCCCTGTGTACTGCACATGAGAGGCTAAGAAGGTCAAGACCCAAAGTGGTAACAAGGCAATGGAGGGAAGAGACAAGACCCCAAGTTTTCATCCTCCCTTCCCTCCTCCCTTCCCTTCTTCCTTCCTTCTTCCCTTCCTTCTGTCCCTTCCTCCCTCCCCCTCCTCCCCTCCCTCCCTCCTCCTCCCATCACTACGCAATTAATCAAATCGCAATTAAGTGCCTAATTTCTCGTACTATCTCATAAATCAAAATAAGGGGCCTTGTTCCTTGGGGTAGTCAACTCAGGGAGAAGCAGGGTCGCTAGGTGACTGGAGGATGCAGGACAGGCTCGGGTCAGAGGCGGAATCAGCCTCTTGCCAAACCATCCTGCCCCAGTTCCGGATTTTCTCTCCGCACTGCACTGGATCCTTTCCCTCCCATTCCTTCCTTCTTGGCCTTCCCCCCTTACTTCTCCTTTCGCTGTCCCTTGCCAGTGCGGGGCAGTAGCTGAGGCTCGGGCCCTAACATCGTCCTCACCACCTCCGGCCCACGGAAAGAGGACCGGAGCGCAGAAACTCCAGTGGGGCCGAGGCCGGCGTTCTGAGCCTGTCCGAGGCCACTCCGGGGCTGGGACGGAGGCGCCGGGCGGGCTGCAGGTGCGGGTCCCGCGTGGCGGAGCCTGCAACCCTGTGCCGGTGCGGGGCGCGGTCCCCAGCCCAGCGCGCAGCGGCTGCGCCCAGCCCTCGGGGCGTGGGCGAGCTGGCCGCGTGTGCCTCGCTGCTTGACGCGGGGACCAGCCAATCAGAGCTGGCGGCCCCGGCTGCCATGTGACGGGCGAGGCGGCCCTTTCCTCAGCGCGGCCAGAGGGAGGAGAGAACCAAGGCTGGCCGTGAGCCTGGGAGCGCAGCGGCCACGGAAGAGGCGGCGGCAGGCGGGAGCGGCGGCGGCACAGGCTCGGGGCCAGCCGGGCGCGCATCCCCGGCGCCCTGCGCTGCGGAGAACTCGGAGGAGCGTGGGAGCCGCGAGACACCAGTGGACAAAGCAAGATGGCAGGGATCTTAGCCTGGTTCTGGAACGAGAGGTTCTGGCTCCCGCACAATGTCACCTGGGCAGACCTGAAGAACACAGAGGAAGCCACCTTCCCGCAGGCGGAGGACCTCTACCTCGCCTTCCCCCTGGCCTTCTGCATCTTCATGGTGCGGCTCATCTTCGAGAGGTAAGAAGGGCCGGAGCGCCTCCTGCGCGCACACACACACACACACACACACACACACACACACACGTGCACACACACGCGCACAGTAGCCCACTCCGTGCGCACGCCCCCGCTCTCGTGCACGCACCTCCCAACCTTTGTGTTCACGGAAAGGTCCCTGACACCTCCGCTGGGCTGGCTTTGGGGAAGCCAGGGAGGGTCGGGCTTGCCTACGGATTTCCTCCCGGGTGTAGTGGAGGGGTTGCTGGGCGCTGGGTCTCCTCCCCGTACTCCTCGGTGGCCTGGCTTCCTCCTCCCGGCCGTGAGGGCGGGCGAACAAAGGTGAGCGGCGGGCGCTCTGGGCCCCTCAGCGCTGCGTGGGGCTTGGCCGTGTCCATGGCTCGACGCCTGCTTCTCTGAAGCTCGGCGCCACCCCAGTTGACAGCCCGGAAGGTTGGTTCGCGCGGCCCCAGAGGGAGGAGGAGTGCACACACTTCAGTCTTTGCACTCCGGCTAGGGGAGGTGCTGCAGAAGAACTGACCAGGCACCCTAGGCTGGTTTCAGGGTACTGTCTGGGTTCCATCCATGACACCAAGTTTTAGGCCTTTGCTCTTGGGAAATGGGTGACGGTAGCACTCCAGGTCATTAGCGGTTTCTTTAAAAGTGGGTAGAACGGGACGAGTGCCCATCACACAAAATGGTCATATGAAATGGATAGCGGGACCCCGTGACTAATCATAAGCTTCTTTTTTATAGAGGAACACACTTTAAACATCGAAAGAATCGTCACGTAATTGTTGGTGTAAGTCCTTGATTGAGTTGGATCTCACCATTGTGGTACACACAAACTTGAGTTACTCTCTTTGAGTCAGGCTTAAGTCATGAAACTAGGTCCTGCCTGCTGTGCAGTCTCCACACGCTAGTGAAACAAAACCAGCAGTGCACACTTCTTTCTCTAAACTGAAAAAAATTGCCTTCCCTTTTCTTCTTCCCACCCCGATTCGTCAGTAAAGGCTGAATTTCTTAGAGCACAAATTCCCACTTCCCTACATTTCCCTTTCCTGCCTCCAACTGACCTTGGCTGTTTCTTAGGTTATTGCTGTTACCTAGTTTACTGTTTCTGTTTGCCTAAAATCTTTATGGAGGATGGCAGAATATATCTTTGTGTCATTTGTTGCTAGAAATAGCCACAGAGCTTCCTGGGAACAAAAAGTACGTTCTGTCGTAAAAAAGGTGGATTTTTTCAATGGGCAGTATTGTTGCTTGAGAACCAAGTCAGCTGTTACCAAGCTGAAATTGACTTGTGTAAAGGGACAGACCTATTTTTAAATGATTAGAATCCAGTTCAAATATGTCATCGATCTTATCCAGTGCTGAGACACGTTGTGAAAAAGTGGGTGTGTTTGCAGGCTCAGAGCTGCTTTGAGAGCAAATGTTTGCTTACCGAAAACAGGAACTCAAGTCTCACCTTGCCATCTCTGCAAAGACAAGCAGACTCTCAGGAGTAATAGCAGGCTGCTGATCTGTGCTGGCTCAGTGTAGGGGCTCGCACACAGTGGCTGAGTGGCAGCTGGTGAATTCTGGCTGGAGTCACTTTTGGATAGCTAATTTAAGGGAAATCTTCAGTCATGTTTTGGAGAAAAAAGCAAGCCATCCTCGAAATGCTGCATTTCCCTGATTCTCAGTCCTGACTTCAGGTTCTTCCAAGGGTTGGAAAAAATACTAAAGAATGAAGGTGGCTCTGTTTGTGGTTGGCTTTTCTTTGTCTTTAAGACTTAACATCGATGTAGTATCCGAGGACTGAATCTTTGATTGTCTTTTGCAAGAACACTTTTTCCTTCCTTAGAGTAAGCTTACGACTTGACTTAGAGTTTATACCAAAGGGTCAGTAGCTTTCAACTGTCCATCGTGACAAATGTCCTCACATTGGCTTGTACAGCTGGTCAGTTTTCTTGGGGCCATTGATATGAATAGAAGACATTTTAAGGCTGTATGGGAAGTGAAAGTTTATGATTAATGCTCAGAATAATAATCCCATATCACACATAGACCACATGTGCTACTGCTGTTGAAAGGGTGTCTGCTTTGCATTCCTCTTGCAGCGGTGACAGCTGTGTCTTTAACGATGTAGACGTGCAGTTCTTTGAAAAACCTGACAGACTAATTGTATCCAGAGTTGGAAGTTCCGCATTTTTATGATCTTCTCAAACCCAAAGGACACGCTCTGCTGTTCAACCTGTGGCTCTCATTTCAGTAGCATCCACCAAAGGCATGAATCAGTAAAGCTGAGCTAGCCCATATTGTCAAAAAACACAGCTTGCTCTAGGTACCCTTTTAACATGTTGTACGCGAGTCTTTTCTCTTTTGTGCTGTTCTGTAAAGAATCCCTTAGCAAAATAAAATCCTTTTGCACTAGGAACAATTCTTTCAAGAATCTATGCTTTGTCATTTATTTCAAACTTGAGAACATAGGAGATACTTGATTATCCAAAATCTTTATTATCTATTGTATAAGGTCAGTAATACCTGAAGCAAAAATTAAGAGTGTATTCTTCAATCTTACCTATTTTTCTCCATAAAGGAAAGCGTTAATGCATTGACTGAATCTGGTTTTGCCAATTGAACAGCCCTGTCTTTTTGTTTTCCCTGTCACTGTTGGGGTGTGACAGGGGAGGTACTATTGGCCAGAGCCTATCGTTTCACAACAGCATATGGACAGCAATATGGTGGCCCAGCATGGCTAGTTAAAAATGGAGCAGCCTAAAGTCACTGACTTTTGGCCAAGTCTATGAAGAGCCCACATCTCCATGGTTTCTATCAGCGCTTTTGTACTCTCCAGCCCTGGGGAGCAATGCAATGGGCTGGTGTAGTACTGCCTGTTGATAGAGTAAAAATGTTGAGAAAGAAGCAATATCTTTTAGAATGAAAATTTCAGTGCACACCATTATATCCTGTTGGTGACTTGATTATGGAAAGTGATATTTTTTAGCAATGTAGAATTGTCACCTATTTGATTTTTTAACTTATTGCCTCTTTAGGCTCTATAAAACATTTCTGGGAGTTATAACAAATGCTTCTTTCAACTTCACTTTTCAAAACCGTGTTTTGCTATGGTGTTCATAAATGTAGAATCCAAGTTCTGCTGAACCCCTGTGTGGAAATAAAACTTTTTATTATTTTTATAAAAGTAACTTTACTGTAGTTTCTTCATGGATTTAAGAGAGATGGAGAAAGTACTGACTGGGAATCAGAGCTATCAAGTTCTAGTCAGAAGGGTCATGGTACTGGGGCAGGTTCCTGACTTATCTTTGCTTATTTCCCAGAAGCAAATGGTCATTGTAATCCAAAAACGCTTTCTTTTTAGAAAAATTGCTTTTTCTTACTTATGGCATAGAAATCTTTGATTTGTATTATTTTCATGTGTACTAACAATATATGTGTTTATAGGGTGCAGTGTAAAACACTGTGTAATGAGAAGTCACTTATGAAATACTTTTTCTGATGTGAATATTTGAGATGTACTTTTAAGCACAGTGTACACTGTTGCTTACCATTGTTATGTGTAATGAATCTCAAAGTGGCATTCCTCTTCACTGAAACATGGCCCATCTTGACCTCTGTCCTTCTCTTCTTCTGACTCTGTAGCCTCTGGCAACCACCATCTATTCTTATTATATTAGATTTGAAAATGTACATGAGAACATACGGGATTTGTTCTCTAAAGACCTGGCTTATTTCACTTCATGGAGTGAAATTAAAGACTCCTTTTTTAAGATTATAGAGTATTCATTCTCTATCCATTGATCCATTGATCGACACTTAGCTGGACTGATTTGACTAGTCCAAGTCACCATATGATGACTGTGTAGAGGCAGATAGTTCTTTACTGATTCCAAATCTTCTGGGTAGGGATGGGATAGAGCTCTGTGGTGGAGCCTTTACCTAGCATGTGCAAGGTTCATGACTGCTTTCCATCCCTAATCCCTAATGCCTGTAGACCCTCTGTATTTGAAGCTTTAATTATCTCATGAGACTTTGTAGGAGGCTAATGCTCGTGTATAGCAAGCAGAAGTCAGACCTCTCAGAACAAAGCGTTTTTTTTTTTTTTCGTAGAAATATTCTACTCAGTAGTTTTGCTGTTTTTAAAGTATTTTCCAGTTGTTTTTTGAAACAAAAGAATCATTTGGGCTGTTATCACATGTGTTCCAAAAAGCTACAATATTTTTCACTAACCAAGAAAGAAGACTCTACAGAGAGAGAGAAAAAAACTGCTTTCTTTGGACCTCTTTGTGTTAGAACACAGAGTGGAGCTGACATCTGACTGGATAAGAAAGGGGTAGCTTCTCACTCCTGACAGGGTGGCATTCAGTGCCAAGCTATACAGGAGTGTTATCCTTTAGGAGCTGATACTAGTCCAGTGTGGAGTGTTCAGCCTAAGAACAACTTTCTTCCCAAATCTTCTGGACAAAGTAGTGCTTTAGCTTTGTCAAAGGGAATGGCTGTCCAGTGGGCTTTTTCTTATGATTTATCTGCTGTCTCTGCCTTGCCAGTGCCTTGGGTAAGGCCGTCTGGAGGCAGTGAGGGATGGAGGAGGGGGAAAGAAAAAAGTGGGGAGATACATTGCAGGGGAGGACTGAGTAAAGGCTATCACAAAAAATAGAGTAATGGATGAAGTCCATTAGTGAAAGATAGTCCTGTAATGTATCCTTTAGTGAAGAGGGAGATATCTCAGACAAAGTTTAAAAGAGTATTTGGGAATAACTTTCATACAAACATAGGCTTTTTCTATGTAACCTCAGTGCTATATATTAAATTCTAAGTATACCATACTTAGCTTTTTATATAATGGTGTTATTGAGATTGAAACTATGGCTACCTGATATGCTAAAGAGAGATGTAAGAGGCAGGAGCTGGGGTCACACATGAATAGGTTCTTGCTTATAATTTCTACTCTGGGTCAGAAAAAAGTGGATCACAATGGATGTTTTATTGGAAAAAAAATGGATGGTAGTCTTTGAAGA